ATAGCGAGACAATGGCAACTTCCCAGAATAAAGAACCGTCGAAGAAGGCGATAAAAAACCCTGGGGGTTCTGGTAGCTCTCAAGGCAAAACTAATTCGAGTGGCCAAACTGTTAAGTTTGCGCGAAGGACTTCAAGTGGACGGTATGTGAGTCTGTCAAGAGAAGACCTTGATATGTCCGGGGAATTATCTGGGGACTATATGAACTACACAGTTCATATTCCACCCACCCCGGATAACCAGCCCATGGACACATCCGTGGCTGTAAAGGCAGAGGAGCAATATGTTTCGAATTCTTTATTTACCGGAGGGTTCAATAGCGTGACTCGTGCACATCTCATGGATAAGGTGATTGATTCGGAGGTGACTCATCCTCAGATGGCTGGAGCCAAAGGCTCTGCATGCATGATGCCTGCTTGTGATGGTAAGGTGATGAAGGATGAGAGAGGAGTTGATATAACCCCTTGTGATTGCAGGTATGCGCTACGATACTCTAATTAATTACTAGTTTGATTACTATGCTAATAAGATCTTAAGATCTTCGGGTACTAAGTGAAGCTCAGAAATCCAAAAAAAAAAATATTTTCAACTAGTACTTTTGGATAGGATTTCCACATTCACTTTTTCTTCGAATTGTGTTTTGTAGGTTCAAAATCTGCAGAGATTGCTATTTGGATGCACAGAAGGACACTGGCCTTTGTCCAGGCTGCAAGGAGCAATACAGAGTAGGAGACGAATATGATGAGCCATCGGATTACAACAGTGGAACGCTGCAATTGCCTGGTCCTGACGGAAAAAGGGATAACATGTCTGTGATGAAGAGGAACCAAACGGGAGAATTTGATCACAATAGGTGGTTGTTTGAGACAAAGGGGACTTATGGTGTTGGCAATGCTTTCAATCCCCAAGATGACGGGTATGGTGATGGCGGTGGTGATGGCTTCCCAGGGGGCTCGCTGGATGCAGATGACAAGCCCTGGAAGCCCCTCAGCAGGATATTGCCAATCCCTGCTGCCATTATCAGCCCCTACAGGTCAGCATAAAAATTCTTTCGCCCAGTACTTAGTTTGTAGATGTTGCATTTGTTCACGCAAACAAAACATGTTATGCATAAATCGTACTTCCGCAATAGAACAAGCTTCGCAAAAGTTATAAAACAATAAGAACATTGTAAGATGAAGTGATAATGTTCATTTTGTATTATTATGCACTATAATTAAGATGACTAACAATTAATATATATTTTATGCTGATCATCGTCTTGTAGGTTACTGATCTTCGTTAGATTAATCGTGCTATCATTCTTCCTGCATTGGAGAGTAGTCAATCCAAACAATGATGCAAGATGGCTGTGGCTCATGTCAATTATCTGCGAAATATGGTTCGCCTTCTCTTGGATTCTTGATCAGACTCCAAAGTTTTTCCCCATTAATCGTCAGACCGATCTTGAAGTCCTCCACGACAAGTTTGACATGCCATCACCATCCAATCCAACGGGCCGGTCTGACCTCCCTGGCATTGACTTCTATGTATCGACTGCTGATCCTGACAAAGAGCCACCTCTCACCACTGCCAATACCATCCTTTCAATCCTAGCCGTTGATTACCCGGTTGAAAAGATAGCATGCTACATCTCTGATGATGGAGGTGCCCTCCTCACCTTCGAGGCAATGGCGGAGGCTGCTAGTTTCGCGGACTTGTGGGTCCCCTTCTGCCGGAAGCACGACATTGAGCCGAGGAATCCTGAGAGTTACTTCGCGTTGAAAGTTGACCCAACAAAGAACAAGAGTAGTCTGGACTTTGTGAAGGATAGGAGGAAGATCAAGAGGGAGTATGATGAGTTCAAGGTGAGGATCAACGGGCTTCCGGATTCGATCAGGAGGCGGTCTGATGCTTTCCATGCCAGGGAGGAAATGAAGCAGTTGAAGAATATGAGGGAGAATGGAACTGACCCTCTGGAGCAAGTCAAAGTCCCCAAGGCTACATGGATGGCTGATGGCACACATTGGCCTGGTACTTGGGCTGTTCCTTCCCATGACCATGCCAAAGGTGACCATTCCGGAATTCTTCAGGTAACATTAGCTTCTCACGAATTCGAATAAACTATTTGCATGGTTACCGATTGCCTCTCAAATTCTCTATCATATAGCGCACAAGCGCTAACCATTTAGTAAGTTAATACAACTCTAACCATCGTTTGGGTGCACTCCACTATTCGGCTTGAACAGTTGATTTTGTATTTCTTCGTTCGAGATCCACAAAATTAATTCCACCTAATCGAAAATTGTTTTAAAAGGGCTAAACGATTTTCAACTAGAGTGAATTTTTTGTTAGGATAATCTCAATGATGACCTATGAACAGTTCATATCATGGGAATATTGTGGAATGGACTCAAACGAATAGTTAGCATTATATTAACTTACTAACTGGTTAGCTCCTGAGTGTTGTTGATAAGCATGCGGTCAGTAAATACGGCAGAAACAATATTACTCAAGCTTTGATGCCGCATTGTGCATAGGTGATGTTGAAGCCTCCTAGTCCCGACTCACTATTGGGAAGTGCCGATGATGACAAGCTCATAGATTTCACAGATGTGGATATACGCCTCCCGATGTTTGTCTACATGTCGCGAGAAAAGCGGCCGGGCTATGATCACAACAAGAAAGCTGGCGCCATGAATGCGCTGGTGAGAGCATCCGCCATCTTGTCGAACGGCCCTTTCATTCTCAACCTTGACTGTGATCACTACATCAACAACTGCAAAGCTATCCGTGAAGGGATGTGCTTCATGATGGACAGAGGTGGTGAAAACATCTGCTACATTCAGTTTCCTCAGAGATTCGAAGGAATTGATCCTTCTGATCGCTATGCCAATCACAACACCGTGTTTTTCGACGGCAATATGCGTGCGCTTGATGGTTTGCAGGTACCTTAATCAATTCGAAACTAAGAAAATTTCTATGTTACAAACTCGTGTGACAGTTCGATTTGTGCGCATGTGATACAAGTTGTAACTTGGAGATTAAGTTACACACATATTATGTACTTACAATCAGTATGCATGAATCATTGGTTTGCAGGGTCCGATGTATGTGGGAACCGGGACCATGTTCCGGCGTTTTGCCTTGTACGGTTTTGATCCACCAAATCCTGACAAGCTGCCGGTGAAGAAGGATACTGAGACACCAGGAGAGCCTTTGACACAGTCGACTATAGAACCTTTGACAGCCTGTGACTTTGACCCGGATCTTGACACCAATCTACTTCCCAAGCGTTTTGGAAATTCGACAATGCTGGCGGAATCCATACCAGTTGCTGAGTACCAAGGCCGACCCCTAGCTGATCATCCTGCAGTGAAATTTGGACGGCCTCCGGGCGTTCTCAGAGCTCCTCGTGATCCACTCGATGCCACAAGTGTTGCTGAAGCCGTGTCTTCCATTTCTTGCTGGTATGTATATAACTAACTGACAACATGATGTGATCACTCAATAATTTAATCTTACTAGCAATGTACATTTGCATCAAATTAACATTCCGTGACAGGTACGAGGACAAGACCGAATGGGGAGACCGTGTGGGGTGGATTTACGGGTCGGTGACAGAAGACGTGGTGACTGGGTACAGAATGCACAACCGAGGATGGCGCTCAGTGTACTGCGTTACCAAGCGTGACGCATTTCGAGGTTCAGCTCCCATTAATCTCACTGATCGACTCCACCAAGTGCTCCGTTGGGCAACAGGTTCTGTCGAAATTTTCTTCTCTCGGAACAATGCCTTCCTCGCCTCAATGCGCCTCAAATTACTACAGCGCCTTTCCTACGTCAATGTCGGTGTCTACCCTTTCACCTCGATATTTCTCATCGTGTACTGCTTCCTCCCAGCGCTCTCGCTCTTCACTGGACAGTTCATCGTGGCGAATCTCAACGTCACGTTTTTGATCTACTTGCTAACCATAACCATATGCCTCATTGCTCTGGCCCTCCTGGAGGTGAGGTGGTCGGGGGTCGCGTTGGAAGACTGGTGGCGAAACGAGCAGTTTTGGCTCATCTCCGGAACCAGCGCTCACTTGGCTGCTGTGGTGCAAGGGCTTCTAAAAGTGATGGCAGGGATTGAAATTTCCTTTACCTTGACAGCCAAGTCAGCTGGAGACGACAATGATGATATATATGCTGACCTCTACCTTGTGAAGTGGACTTCCCTCATGATCCCTCCAATTGTGATTGGAATGGTGAACATAATAGCCATTATCGTCGCATTTTCAAGGGAGGTTTATGCTCCGAATCCTCAGTGGGCGAGGTTTATCGGCGGTGCCTTCTTCAGCTTTTGGGTTTTGGCTCACTTGTATCCTTTTGCCAAGGGTTTGATGGGAAGAAGAAGGAAGACGCCTACCATTGTGTTTGTTTGGTCAGGTCTCATTGCCATTACACTTTCCTTGCTCTGGGTCGCCATTAACCCACCAGCTCCTGGTGCTGTCGCTGGCGCTGCAGGAGGCGGGTTCCAATTTCCGTGAGCTGGTCTGGTTACTGAGTACATTTTAACGACTTTGATTTTCAAATCTTTGATATGAAAGTAAAATGAAAAGAAAAGAACACTTGAACTACGTAGCCGATCGGATTGGATTATAGAGTTTTAGGGTCAAGAAACTGTAGAAATATAAACTAGAAGGATTTACAGGTACCTTTCAATTTCGTCCTCCGCCGTTTGAGGGAGAAGGTTGTTTTGTTCTATGATTGTACTGGGCGGAGTTTGTGTGTCTGATATAATCAACCCGCGTCGTTCTGGTGTACAGGGCATGTAATGTACGGATTCAGAGGATATACGTAAGCAAAAGAGTAAAACTTTCATGTCACGAGTGCATCCATCTGTTGTTCATATCTTACTCGTCATTTGACTTAGCAGGCAACGAGTGAGAAATGCTAATCGAACATCGTTTCATTCCTTTATGTATAAAATCGGAAGGAGAATTCACTTCTAAGCTCTATGTTTCAAACAAAAAGCGGGAAGCCGAAAAGTCGAGGATCAAATCTTTATAACAGGAGACCCAAAATGTTTGCATTACACGAGTCTCATCATTTTAACTATAACTGCTGACAACAATAATTATTGGTTGGTCGATCAGAGATCCGTCCAACTGCATAGGCTGGAGCTACAAGTGTAAGTATGAACAAACCAAAACTATCAGTATTCTATCTTCTCAAGACTAACCGTTGTTCACTGTACGTCTGGGACACATGATATTCGTCGCTACAGTTTAGAAATCTGACTGTTCAAATGGAATGCGCACAAACAACTGGCCGTTCAAGGTCACAACAGCAGATGTCTGATGTGGATCAATTCTCGACGGTAGGCTGACAACCTATAAAGAAAACCACTTTAATAATCCTGCAGTTATACTTTGATAGTGTCACACTACATAACAAAAGTTTGATTTGAACATGAAGGTGTGAGAATTTAACACAACCAGAAATCAGCCTGATGCTTACACTTAGGTATGAGACGCAAAGAACCTCTAGGGAACGCTCCCCCTACCCCCCTCCCGAAGCAAAAAGAAAAACAAAACTACTTTTTAAGGATTCTCTTTCCCTCCATATCTAATAACTATCGTCAGTAACCCTAAACATATTGTAGCTCCATCAACTGAACAGAAACAAATTGATACAACTGCAAGGGTAATCTATGCAAGAGTTCAGATAGGTTATCTATGTCATTAATAATTAACATGAACTGTGTTAAGGTCCATTAAATATGACAGTACCACCGACTAAGTGGCTTAAACATGCTGCAAAAATTGCAAAGAACCACAGATGCAGGTAATATAGGGCTCGTTTGTAACTAGGATTAGATTGGAGCGGATAAATCATAAAATTCAATGAATGTTGAGGGTCGAGGTGAATGATTTTCACTTGGAGGGGATTAAAATGGGATTAGGCATGAAGGAAATTCCCCTCTTCAAATTGGAAGGGATAAGTTTCCTTAATAAGCAATCCCCTTCTAATCCCCTCCAAATGAAAAATCATTAACCTCTTAACTTTAACATATCTTGAATTTTATGATTTATCCACTCCAGTCCTAGTTACGAAACGATCTCATAATTATAAAGTTATGCCAACCTTCTTAAAGGGTGTGACACCCCAAGGATTATCCAGTTGTGTTGGTTGACCAGATATAATCAAGCGTCCGGCTGGATCAGATTGCACATGCACCTGAATCATAATCATTGTTAATGACAAATACACACAGAGAATATAACTAGCAGAATCAGTATATAATTTCTTGGAAACCGTAAAAGCAGCATGCCTATTTGAAACCCATGGAAAAGAGCTACCGACCTTAGCTATGAAACCAAAATGACAAACTTATAAACAACAATGATAACATAATTAGTTCATGGACTAACCTCCTCGCGCAGAAGCCCAGGAACTAAGGCATATACCTCAAAGCAGTCATTCTGTATACGGTCAAGTTTCAGTTCTAATTAGATTTAATAAGTAGAAATATGTTAAGTCCGAACAGTGAGATGAGAGGAACATACAAATTTTTTCACATTAATCTTTACCCAATCTGCTGGGGGTCCAATATCAAATACCATTGTATCCATTCTGTAAACAAGGTGAAAACAAAAATGTTGAGCTGGAATAATATCAGGGTACTCTATATTATCACGGATTCACAGGAAAATCACTAGGGGACCAAGAGAAAGTAGTAACCGTGTTTTTGTAGCTTTCATGTCAGCAACTTGGATACCAGAATCCATATGAGATGGCTTTTTCCGCTTTAGTAAACCTGAGTTAACTAAACATTTTTAAGACAGAGAAGATCACTATGGCAGCAAAAATGTCAAAAATTTAAGCTCATCAGTCATCATACCAGAATTTTTTAGTTGCTTGTCACTTTTGGGCATGGTACTCAGGTGCTTATCCTAACACATGAACAAAAGAAATATCATCAGGGCGGGAAAATGGCCAAAGAAACAGAGAATAAAAACAAATAAACATAAAGAGGTTAAAATTTCTCCAGACCTTATTAATTGCATCTCCAACCTCACCATTATTACCATGATGGCGGTGAGAGTGCCAACCCTGCATGGCACGAGCTGCAGCATCCCTTAGCGCCCTGCCTGAACCTAAAGTCTGGCCGCCATCAGCCTGCATTCAAACCCAAGAAGATGACTTAACCAAGAAACAAAAGAACAAAAGAGAAAAAGAACCAAAATTCTGTGTCTGTGCAGGTCCAGTGCCAGAAACTAATATTACTCATGCAACATTGAGCATCATTTCCAATTCCTCATACAGAACCGCAGCTATCAGCATATATGATCGGTTAAGTCTAATTACCCGATTCTCAACTCTAGTAGGCTCTGCAGGAAGAGGAAGTTCACCACCATTCAGTCTATCCCTTTCAAATTCAAGTAATGCCTGTAGAAAATAATAATTAGGGACTCCAAAACCCGCAGGTAAACAGACCAAACACAAGACGACAATAAAAAGTAAAAACTCAAAAATTATATGTAGAGAATAACCTTCTCATAAAAATTTCGAAAAGTCCAAGAGACGGTAGTACAGGTTCTGTGCACCATGAAAAAAACAGCCATTGGAATGTAAGTTTATAAAAGAATAATAAACTCAAAACAAATGGAATTTCTGTTTGGTGAGTGGGTGGTGTGTTTTGTAATTATATACATAATAACTTTGGATAACCACCACAAAATAAGTTGCCTTCCTCTTTTATTTTATTTTCTGGGCCTGGTAAATCATTCAGATAGCTTAAAGAGAGATATCAAGTAAAGAAAAACAGTATTGCTTACTTTGGGGGATTGAATGATTCTCCAACCTGCCGCCACAACTTGCACGTAGTAACCTACACGTTCCCACAGAAACACTAAGCGGAGTAAACCAATAGAACAATATAGTAAAATCAGTCTACCAAAAGATAATCATTATGCAAGTGCATCAGCCAGCTTGCTTTCTCTCTCTTTCTTTCTCTTCTTCCTTTTTGATAAGTTTTCATATTTGCATAGAGAAACAAATAATGCAGTTGTTTGCTTTAGGTAACTAAGTGTATACACATACAAGAGAGGTCGGGTGAAGTAGGTGTGCCACCAAACTTGTGAATATAGTACCCTCGGCATAGGAATTTGTAATAATCCTTATATATGTGGAGTTGTGTTTTATGCTATTTAACCAATATGGGAATTCAGGGATTCTTTCTCAGCTGTGCATAATACTACCTAATCTACAAATCCTTATTCAAAACTATTCAGGATTCAGAGATAAAAAATCCCACACAAACCTTGTTGTAGCCACCAAGTTTGATCACAGCTCTCCATAACCTGATTTTAAGAAGAAACAACAAAGTGAACATCGAGCCAAAATGTTTTCTAACTAATTAATTTACGCAAATTCAACAGAGATATAATCACCAAGAATTTACTTGAGCAAATTTAATTCCTCTTTGTAGAACTTTGGGGCTTTGAATTCCAAGTTCTTCTCTTTATATAAATTTATCACCTCCTTCGTGAATGACGCTTGCTCCTCCTCAGTCCCTGACTCACCACCCTCATCAGCACCTGGATCCAAGAGAAAGGTTTTCTTTGGTTCTAAGCTCTTCATCCCAACCTTACGCCCAACATAAAATATGGGTTTCTGCAGTTGCTCGTTTATGTCAGTATGAAAAGAAAACTTTGTTTTGTTGCTCACCCCACCATTCAATCGCTCAACTTTATCACCATCGTCATCAGATTCAGTCTCCATTTCGACTTGATTATCACAAGGCATATCAGGCTCCACCTTACTAACAGCATTATCAGTTTCAGCACTGTTATGGGGTTCACTGGAGGGGTTGGCCTTGATGTTCAACCCACCTATCAGTTTCTTCATACCAACCCCACTATCATGAGACATTTTATCAGTTTCCGCCTTACAAATAGCATTATCAGCTTCAGCACTGATGTGCAGTTCACTGGAGGGATTGACTTCGCTGCTCACCTTATCGGTCAGTTTCTCCATTGCACACTCACTGTCAGAAGGCATATCAGGCTCCACCTTACGAGCTGCAATATCAGCTTCAGCTCTAATATTTGGTTCGCCAGAGGGGTTGGCCTCACTGCTCACCTCATCTATCAGTTTCTCCGTTGTAACCCCATTATCACGAGAAATATCGAGTTCCACCCTTCCAACAACATTACCAGTTTCAGCACTACTATCTGGTTCATTGGAGGATTTGGCTTTGTTGCTTGCCCGTTCTATCAGTTTTTCTGTTGCAACTTCACTATCACAAGGCATACCAGGCTCCACCTTATGAGCAGCATTATCATCTTCAGCAATGATATTGGGGACCTCACTGGTCACCCCATCTTTCAGTTTCTCTGGTTCAACCTCACTATCATGTGTATCAAGCTCCACCTTACAAATAACATTATCAGTTTCAGCAGTCCTATCTGGCTCATCGGAGGATTTGCCCTTGTTGCTCTCCCCATCTATCAGATTTTCTGTTGCAACTTCACTATCACAAGGCATACCAGGCTCCACTGTAGAAACAATATTATCAATTTCATCACTGATACGTGTTTCGCTGAAGGGGTTGGCCTCACTGGTCGCCCCATCTGTAAGTTTCTCCATTGCAACCTCACTATCATGAGGCATATCAAGCTCCATCTCACAAGCAACATCATCAGTTTTATAACTTATATCTGCTTCATTGGAAGGGTTGGCCTCACTGCTTACCCCCTCTTTCAGAGCTTTTTCTTCCTCAACACCGTCACCTTCCTTTTCGATCTCTATGGGGTCCTCAGTGTGAGGCGACCCACCGTCACCAACAAGACTATCAGTCTTGTCACTGGCACCCAATTCAATAGACGGGTTAACTTTGCTGCCCAAATCATCCTTCAGTGCCTCCCCTTTCACACCACCACTCTCCTCACTCACAATCTTCACAGAAACCTCACTCTCACTATGCACACCAGAATCCACATTACTCGCAACCTTATCAGTTTCATTACCGGAATCCAGTTCATTCCACGGTGTCAGCAATGCTAGCATCTTCAGGAGTCTCAGGGATAGAGGGAACCGAATCAACTGCACCCGAAATGTCATCACCAGGCAATTCAACACCATTTTCATCAACGCTCTTCAGGGTCTCTATTTCTACACCATCAAAGGTCTTGGGGTTTGGTTCTTCTCCCCCTTCCACATGTGCAGGAACATGGGTACCTGCCCCCCTTTTGTTTTCTCCATCCTCCACCATTTTTCCCTCCTCTTTCTCTACATCCTCCATTTTTTTCCCTATATTTTTCTTTCCTTCTTCAAACATTCAAACAAAAACACAAAAAATAAAATAAAAATCCAAACTTTAAACAAAATCCAACCTAATAAATACACGGAAACAAAAGGAAAGCACGGATTTTGAAGAGAATGAAAACAAATAGAAAGTGGGAGTGTTATGAAAAACAACAAAAACGAGTATCATATGTAATGGTTTAACCTCTGCTTGTATTATAACGAGGAGGGAGAAAAACAACAACTTGAAACGACGTGGAGAGAGGCTTACCCAGTTGCCGTTTTTTGGGGACAGGGATGGTGAAGTGGAGGTGGGTGCCGGAGTTGTGCCTTTTCTTCCTCTGGTGGTCTGCTGGTGCTGGTTGATCTGACACTCTGGGCTGCCGGTTGCTTCTGCTGCTCTCTTTGCAAATGGTTTTTCCAATTTTAGGACTTCTTATCATTTTTTGACCAAAAACAAAAAGACTTGTTATTGTCCTCTCTTTTTTATCTTCTCACGTGTCAAGATGAGTAATTCTTTGCCTACCATTGATTGATTCTAGGCACCCTGTTTATTTCTCGTCACGTGCTTTAAAAAAATTTATTTTAAAAATGGAGTAACGTAGTTCTTTTTTTTTTTTTACTGTTTTTAAATTATTTTTTTTTAGTACATCGATCTTTTTATATTAAAAATATGGAAAGTTCAACTAAGCCACACAATAGACAGCCTAATTTGGTATTCGATTCGATATCCACAAGATTTGAATATAAGACATCTCACTTATAAGTGAAAAAAAATATCATCAGACCGTAGTACTGAGTAGTATTTATTTGTTTTTACTTAATTTTACTTCTTGATATGGTGTCAATGGTGTGGGGTGGGTACTTACGTTAGCTGATGGTGTGTTGGTTGAATTTCTTTTGGCATATAAGAGTCTTAACTCTTCAGTTTGATAAGATTTTGTTAATAACTTCTATGGGAGATTCTATCATGTGATTGGGATATTGGAGATTTTATCATGTGATTGGAATGTTATATAATTGTTTTTTTTATACAGACTCTTTTAAGAGAAATGATCTCTATTTTTTTTTAAATGAGGATTACTTATGAGACCCAATCCATATTGAATTTCAACGATCCAAATCATTCATTTTGTAAATCTCAATTTATAGATCATCCTTGCACATATTCAATTCAATTTGAAACTAGTTGTTTATTTAATTGTCACGATAAAATTTCAATGTTTCTTATAAAATAGTTTTCATCAATAAAGTGGACAATTCAGATTTGGCTAAAATTTTGTAAGGTTGATCTATGAGGTGCAACTTAAAAATTCGATAGTTCAAATCGTTGAAGTTCGATATGATGTGAGCCCCACAACTAATCCCTATTTAAAAAAAAAGGGAATTCTTTCCCTTAAAGGTTATGTTTTTTTTTATAAAGTGAGTCACGTGATGAGAGAGATGTAGAGATATGAGAATAAACACGTAGGTCATGATTGTGCCACAAATTTTGCCAACTTCTAGAAGTTGGCAAAAGTGATGATTTATATCTATAGAAGTTGGCAAAAGTGATGATTTATATCTTTCTCCTAACATGAGTCGTGCAACGAGAGAGACAAAAGAATATACTCATAGGTCGTGATTGTGCCTCAAATTTTGCCACCTTGCAGGAGTGGTCAAAAGTGATGGGGAAGTACCTATATCTTTCTTATAACCTAAGTCTCGTGATGGGAGAGAGATAGAGACGGGATAATATACTAATATGTTGTGATTGTGCCTTAAATTTTGCCACCTTTTAAGAGTTTGATGAGAATGCACTTATATTTATCTTATAACGTGAGTCGCATGATGAGAAAGATAAAGATAAGATAATATACTTATAGTTCTTGATTGTGGCTCAATTTTTACCAACTCTTAGGAGTGGACAAATTAAAAGAAAAGATCATCGAACCTGCCAAAAAAAGGCAACCTATGTTATTCTGTTATATTGTAGAATAAAAAAGAGTATTGGGTTCGACATAATAGATCCAAACCGTAATTTATGGCACTTACCATTTTGTTTTCTTTGGAATCTGCCTATACTAGAATATGTCATATTACTGTTTTTACACATGTTTTGTTTTCAATTATAACAACTCGATGATAGGCCCTTTTTCAATCCTTTTATTTTTTTTAGCCTTTTGTTTATTGGTAAACTAGCCTCTTCGTGCATGTGAGAACACTTTTTATTGTCATTGGTGCTCTGCTTTTCTTAAAATATTTTATGTAAATCGAAACCACATGTCATATGATATCAAGGCTTTTTTTTTAGGGAATTTAACGAAAAGCATCCGGTACTGTTCATTTTAACGAAAAACCACATTTTTACACTAAAAAGTCAATCCTTGTACTATTCACTTTACCCTTTATTTTGTCCTTATCGTTAAACTCAAAAATTTTGCAAATGACCGCCACACTGAGGGCATCCGCCCCTAGGCTTATACTAGCTCCGTCCTTGGGTATAACTCAAAATTTCTATTTAATTTTAAATATTTTTATATGATATTTGCTATGATTGAGATAAAGCATAAACAATTAGAAATATAATTGAAGAACAATGTGTTCCAACAATATTGTATATTGTATATGAAGGTGATTGGACTAAAAATTAAGTCATAGGTCCGAGTAATCAAGACCTTTGAATGGAGAGAGTTTTAGATTACCTGATGAGTAAAACATTAATATAATTCCAATTATTTTAGATTTTGTTGTTGTGATAACCATATTAATTATTTTCCAAATAATTGAAATTACTTGTGTAACAAACGATATTATCTACATTAAAGGAAAGGGGGCTAAGCCTCACAATGGGCTAGTAATAATGTAGGTAAAATTCGTCTTGGCGAGAATCGAACCAAAATCTCTCATTTACAACAAAAATGAATATCACTAAACCGTAATATTAAGTAAATGAATATAATCACTTTTAATTTGTGATTATTAATACAATCTGAATTAAGTTACGAAAGATTCGGAATGGTAGACTGTCGATTGGATCAAAATAAAATATCTCAAAGCCACCTAATTGGGATTGCATGCCAACATTCTGTTGTTGCTTATTTAAACGAGGATTCTATGCAATCTTTTGGATAAGGATTTTTTTTTTTTTGGTCAGTAAAGTAAGGATGGGATTACATCAAGAGGTTTGCACGTCGTCCCTTATTAGCCTTGGGATAATTCACATGCAGAAAATGAGTTTCAGAGAGGTGGTGCAATCAAAGATGCGTCGACAACTGATTATCCAAGGCCTGTTTAGCATGAGGTTCTACAACGTGAATCCTTTTAACTCAATAAACAATTCAAAATTATCTCTACGAAAATGCTCGCTCTACGCGAAAATCACACTAAATATCCTAACATTTTTCGCCAACATATTTTCAGTTCGAACAAGTAAATAACAATGTATAGACAATATGTGATATTTTCAGTTTAGACTAACAACCTGCAACATTTTTAGTTTGGACAAGTAAACAATAGTGTGTTGACAACCTGTGACATCTTCATTTTTGACTAACAACCTATGCCATCTTCAGTTTGGACTAACAATATTGGAGGGGTAGAACCAAACAATTCAGAAGCACCTTCAGTTCGGATATGTGAAAACACTTAGTTGGTTATCTATCTAAAGTCTTGGCGTACGAAGAATTCTTCATTCTTTCGTCTCAAAAGGCCATCTCATTAGCTTCGGCGAAGTGAGGTGTTCTCCCCTTACCCCTTGTTTGGCACAACGAAAGTCGAACTTATTAGTGAACTTTGCAGTGATCTAGTAACCTTGTTTTCAGGTTCTGAAGTTGAAGGCTGAGACGTTTTCCTTCTTGGACCATAATCGCTTCGGTACAGAGTCAGCAGTGCATCTGACACAACCATCACCTCCATTCTACTCGCCCAACCAAGCTCAGTTGTGAGTTGTCACACTCGTATTCACAAGAAGAACGTAGTTAGCTCATAGTTACTCAGTTTACACGCTACTGAGGCTTTGTAATTTCTAGGGCCAAAGCATAAAGGAAGACAAATGCCATTTTATATCCACTAATCCATTGTATATAACATACACTTGTTTTCAACTGTATGTAACGTCCCCTATAATCTGCATAAGAGTGTTTGGAACTGATTTTGCAAAGGGCCGCAATCGTATTTGAATAGACATAATTAGTCAAAACAAGAAAACTAGATTAATGAAAGAAAACTAATCCAATGACATTGGATGAGAAATAATTGAATAGCTCCGACTCCTAGTGGATGGACAAACGCTATAAAATCATCTAAACTGTCAAGTCTACTGCAGAAAATTGGAATTCAGATAAATTGATATTAATATTCAATTTCCTTTTAATCAACGGCTCATATTGCATGATGACAATCATTTACATCCAACGGTGAAGGAGCGTTCGTGAATGTGACGGAGTGACGTAGTTGATCAGAGCCTCAGGAACTGGGTCAGAATAGAATACGAACAGCCTAGCCTACCCAACCCTTCTCAAGCTCCCGCCCTTCTTTCGCCTTCATCATCACTTTCCTTGTACTCCAATTTTTTATTCATATTTTTCCCAATTATTTCCTTCAATTCAATCAATTTGAATCCAAAACCCTAAATCTGAATTCCTGATACCACTAAAAATTGGACCAAGGTTCTAGGGTTTCTCTGCTATTCCGAAAACCCTAATTAAAACTTGCCATTTTTGTCTCTTACTCCACTGGCTAAAGCTAAAGGTTGAATATTGCTGAAGATCCACAAGAGTTCACTTTCTCAGCGGAATAAGACTATGAGAGTCTTTGTGAAAGTCTATATCTTTCTGGGTCAGTCTTTCTTTTTCATAGATTTTTTACATATTTGTTAGAATTTACTTGAATTTTCAATTTTTTTCCCGCTAAGATTGTAGATGAACTTATTTATGTATCAGTGATTCTGTATATGTATGTGTGTGTGTATCTATACATATACATAGATAATACCCATTTTATATTTCTACAGATTACAACAGTGTGAGGTTTGGGGCTTGAGATATTTCAATTGAAATTGATCTGAAACCGTTTGAAAATTTTGACATGGATAACGAGGTGATTGAGTTTGATATTGGGCTGGGAGGAGGGGGAGGCCGGGATGGGGAAGATGATTTTGTAGACATTGAGCATCCTGTCGATGATGAGGAAATGGTTGATAGTCCTCTTCTGGGGAGTGGCACTGGCAGTGGCAGTGGTATTGTTTTCGGTGGTGGAGGGAGTGGTGAAATTTACTTTCCTGAGGGGGATCTCTTGGACCTCGAGCCATATGACGGCATGGAATTTGAGTCCGAAGAGGCTGCCAAGGCCTTTTACAATTCGTATGCACGGCGTGTTGGGTTCAGTACTCGTGTCAGCTCCTCACGTCGTTCCAGGCGCGATGGAGCAATCATACAGAGGCAGTTTGTTTGTGCTAAAGAGGGTTTCCGGAATTTGAATGAGAAGCGCACCAAGGATAGGGAGATTAAGCGCCCTCGGACTATCACTAGAGTAGGGTGCAAAGCATCCTTGTCTGTAAAGATGCAAGATTCGGGGAAATGGGTGGTGTCTGGTTTTGTTAAGGAGCATAATCATGAGTTGGTTCCGCCAGATCAGGTGCATTGTCTTCGTTCTCATAGGCAAATATCCGGTCCTGCCAAGACATTGATTGATACCTTGCAGGCTGCTGGAATGGGTCCCAGGAGGATTATGTCAGCGCTGATTAAGGAATATGGTGGGATAAGCAAAGTCGGATTTACAGAGGTGGATTGTAGGAATTACATGAGGAATAATCGCCATAAGAGCTTAGATGGGGACATTCAGATGCTTTTGGATTACTTGAGACAAATGCAAGCTGATAGCCACAACTTTTTCTATGCTGTGCAGGGCGATGACGATCAGTCCATGGGAAATGTTATTTGGGCTGATCCAAAGGCAAGGATGAACTATAGTTATTTTGGTGATACTGTTACTTTTGACACTACCTACAGGTCTAACAGGTACCGTTTGCCCTTTGCACCTTTCACAGGGGTGAACCATCATGGTCAGCCTGTTTTGTTTGGTTGTGCCTTTCTGATAAATGAATCTGAAGCATCATTCGTTTGGCTGTTCAAAACATGGCTTATGGCAATGTCAGGCCGGCCCCCAGTGTCAATTACCACTGATCATGATCCTGTGATACAGTCAGCCATCACGCAGGTTTTCCCGCAGACCCGGCTCCGTTTCTGCAAATGGCACATCTTTAAGAAATGTCAGGAGAAGCTATCCCATGTGTTTCTTAAACATCCAACCTTTGAAGCAGACTTTCACAAGTGTGTTAATTTGACTGAGTCCATAGAAGAATTTGAGTCTTACTGGTTGTCTCTTGTTGATAGATACAACCTCAGAGATCATGAATGGATTCAAATGGTATACTCTGCTCGCAGGCAGTGGGTCCCTGTATATCTGCGGGACACTTTTTTTGCAGAAATGTCCATTACTCAGAGAAGCGACAGTATTAACTCATATTTTGATGGATATGTGAATGCTTCAACAAATTTGAATCAGTTCTTTAAGCTTTATGAGAAAGCTCTAGAGAGTCGAAATGAGAAGGAAGTGAAAGCAGATTTTGAAACTATGAACACTGCCCCAGTTTTGAAAACCCCATCTCCAATGGAAAAGCAAGCATCCGAGCTTTATACAAAAAAGATATTTATGAGGTTTCAAGAGGAGTTAGTTGGAACGCTAACTCTCACGGCATCTAAGGGTGATGATGATGGGGAGATCATCACATATCAAGTAGCAAAGTTTGGGGAGGACCATAAAGCATACTTTGTTAAGTTTAATGTTTTGGAGATGATGGCAGCTTGTAGTTGCCAGATGTTTGAGTTCTCAGGTCTTCTTTGCAGACATGTATTGGCAGTCTTTAGAGTGACCAATGTGCTGACTCTCCCATCCCATTACATATTGAAACGATGGACTAGAAATGCCAAGAGCAGTGTCATGTTAGAAGAACGTTCTAGTGATGTATATACCAATTATCTAGAATCTCATACTGTTCGGTTCAATACCCTACGTCACGAGGCCTTTAAATTTGTAGATGGAGCAAGGTCTTCAGAAACTTATGACATTACAGTGGAAGCTTTGAAAGAAGCTGCAAAGAAAGTTGCTCATGCAACAAAGCATGAGGGGAAATCCATGGTCAATGGGCATGTCAGGGGGAACTTGGCTAGTGGGGCAAGTCAGGCAGCACGTTGTGCTAGTGGGGATCATGAAGGAAGTTCTGGCCAACACTTGTCTGAGGTTAGAGTCATTTTTCCGATTTTTTATTTATTTGATTACTTGTCTTAAGGCCTTAGCCTTTTTTTGTTACCTTTGATGGTGCGTTCCATGTTGACACAATCTTTCTTTGCTGATGTTTGTCTAATAGTTTGACTAATGAAATGGTGTTTGACTGTTTGCATATACGATTTGTTCAAGCCTGCTGTAACTTTGTTGTTATGGGTGTTATTGTGTAGGATGATATGGACAAAAAAATTCGAGAACTTACGAATGAGCTGGAGTGCGCAAATCGGAAATGTGAAGTTTATCGGGCTAACCTGCTTTCAGTTTTGAAAGATATAGAGGATCATAAGTCACAATTGTCAATTAAAGTACAAAACATTAAAATTGGCATGAAAGACGGCCTATAAAGGTGCAATACAGTCTCATGTACTTATCTTTTATTTTTTGACTGCTTTTTAGTCAGTGTACTTTCACAATGCTCTTTGGATAAGGCTGTTCCTTCACTTATGATGGGTGTAGAAATTGGAAATCTGTGAATGTTGTTCTATGTTGAAATAGAATTTATGTAGATGTATAATACTATGCATTTATAGTTATAGGATCCAAAATCTACGCAGATACTTGATAGTTGGCCTTGTGTCTGACATCAATTGGAAAATAACCTCAACTTATGTGGGAAATTGGCAGGGTCCATGTTGTAGATCATGGATCTTGGCTGCGGATTTGACTCGTTACAGGCTTGATACCTCATGTGTAAATCTTGTATTGGCAGATTTGTTAGACTTGTTTTCTTTTTATTATTAGTTAATAGTTATGTTATTTTAAACCGATTTATACTTTTCTGACATTTTATGGATTGTGAATCTTGTGATGTTCTAGTCTGCAACAGTAACTTTTCGGGAGGAAAAATCATTGTATGAATGCTTGCACAAGAAGACAGGCGTGAGAGCCGAAAGGTTCATCGGGGTATGGATGTTTAGCAATTGAAATTGTTTGGTAGCTGTTTTCTCATTGTGTGTGTATTTATATATTTTCATTTGTTGATTGGTTGCAGTCGAAGGTAATAATCAGATGTTATTTTCTGTGCCTGTCGAATAACACCTTCAATTCTAAGTTTTCGTATAAGCTTGTTGGTAAATTCATCCTTGATTTGACAAGTCATCTTCTACTCATCCTTGCAAATTGGCTGAACAGAACCTATTAACTGCGGTTTCTGTTAGGAAGGTTAATACAGTTTCACTGGAGTGTATCTGCACCAACACTTTGTTTACTTTTCGTGCTTCGATCTTTAGGCTTTTGTTGCCCCGTTTCTTCGGTAGTGATTACATGTGTATACAATTTCGCTGGTTAAGCTTATTTGGAGTTTACTGATTCCCATTTTATTGGCATTGAAAGCAATACTGTGTAGTATGACACCGAAACTGAAAGCTTGAGTTCGGGTGACGGGGAAAGTGGGGATGTAATGTTATGTTCTTCCGAGCCTTTGTCGGAGCGAGTTATGTAATGTGATATTCTTGTGTTGTGTATACACTTTGTAGGATATGATTTTCCTAAGTAGAGTTCAATCTACGATTCGGATGATCGTCAGTCGTAATCGTCAATGGTAGTTAATTGTGAATTTATGCGGGACCACCCAATCAACGACTAACAATCCTTCACACGAGCGATTGATACTTTTCTGGCCCCAAGTGTTTTAGATTCTTGTGTGATTTGAGCACCTAACATATGACTGGCAAATTTAACTCTAGTTGTGTGAGTTGCTTTTCCATAACACACATCATAGCTGAAACTGAAAAAACAAATTGAAGAATTGGAAAGAATCGACCTTGTTGGAGTTGAGATGCTTTCAAGAAATCAAAATATGAGGATGAGGATTTCCCCCTCTAAAAATCTCGAGGGGGTTCGAACAATTTTGAGAGAGAATTTTGGATGAAGGCGTTATTTGGCCGGGCATTTAGGGTAAGTCACTAAAAAGTTGTCATGTTGACACGAGTGGAGCAAGGTTTGAGAGAGAGGTCCCAAGACAGGAACCCACTGACCCACTTTCCATGATGAAGTTTTTCTCCTGTTTGAGAAGGAGAAACATATGGATCCCCTCTAGTCGTCATCCGACGTTCATGCGCCACAAAACACAAAATTAAGGACTCTTAGTTTCGACATGCCCCAACTTCGTACTAGCAGACACCTGAATGTGACAAAATCATTTTACGCTTGATGTCATGAGAGCCAAAATATTACAGGTTAATTCTATAAAAAATTCAACAAAATTTCTCCTGTTTTTATACAAATGACCGTCTTTTACCCTGCATGAAAATAACAAATCTGGGTGGGAGTGTGTCCCCAAGGGAAAAGGTTCCTTGCCGGATCATTTTCCTAGAGATTCAGGGGATCTTGTAATCATGTTCGTTCATCATACATCATACGGTCAGTATTTGTTAGGTACTATTTATATTTAATTTTAAATTTAAAATAATTTCTGATCGCATGATGTACGATGAACGGATATGATTACGGGATCCCCTGATCCTTCGGAAAAGTAATGGGCGAGGATCCTTTTCCGTCCCCAAGGCCCACATGTGGCTCAGCTTGTGGTGGTACCGTTTAGGTTGTGCCGCGTGGAAGAGTTTACCCTCAAGATTGGCAATGGATACCCATGAATAGTCCAGCATCACCATCACCTCCTCAATTACACAGAACTAACAACTAATGCGTGCTCATGTAGGCCTAATGGGGTTTAAAATGAGAAAAGACTTATTTTTAGTTACGATTCCTGAACTTTTCATTAATTTTCACTTTAACCCTTATTTTTTATATTGACTCACTTTATTACATGCATTTTTCTTCCGTATCTTATTTTACCTCAATATTTTATATTGTCGCATTTTAATACCTGCACTCTTTCTTAATGTCATACTTTACCCTATTTCCTCAAATAAGTTAAAAAGAGCTGTTAATTGTGCTAACATGGCATGGACAATTTAGCCTTTTCAACTATGTTAGTGCGAACAATGAGTGCATGGATGTGGGTTAAACTCAAACTAGGGTTTGATGTCTTCATATTAAGAAACAGAAAGCAGAGGAAAACAATAGAGGTAGAGATTCTCCCTAAGAATCTTTACAACAGGATCTGAAAACATTGAAATTGATTCGCGAATCTTGAAATGCAACCTTCTCTTCTTATACCTCAACCTTTTCTTCTGATGTTTTATTATTTTAATTTGGAGAAATCAATTCTTAGTTTGAGTTTAACCCATCTCTCATTTGTTGGAGTATACCCGAAAAGCAATTGACGTGGCAACACGTAATTGGTTATTCGTGGCAACCCAATGTCTAGTCATCGACGAAAAAGGCAAATGAGAAAATTCGTCAATCGAGCACGTGGCCTAATAGCGGATTAGGAAAGTTCGTTGTTGATTAGGATGAGTCCAAGGAATACCTTGAATTGTAGGAACAATATTGCAAATAAGTTCCAATCCTAAGATACGTACCCTACGAATCTTAAGTCTTAAACTATGTTCCTAGCCATAGGATGATTGATAGGACTATTGAACGTCTGCAAATTTCGGTTTATGTCGTATTTAGTAGTAAGTCTCAGACTAAGCATGTGGTGACATGGAATAGACATAAAGGCGACTATAAGATTGTGTTCACTGAACATTGACCAACCATAGAAGTGCATAATTGGAAGGTTACCTACTTGTCAATTGTATCACAATTATGAGTTGTGGATGCAACTAGTTCTTATACCTGAGGCATCATTAGTTATCTCATGTTAGTAAATGTGATATTTGGCCTCACCTTGAAGCTCTTAAACGATAACAGACCCTTTAGTGTGAGAATCATGATCATATGCATTAATATGGAATATGTGAATGCACAACAAGGAATCTACCACCTTTTATGTAATCATGAAGGAAGATATTGTTGAAGCCCCTCAACGATCTATCTCCATAAATCTTTGGTCAAAACAACGTACATGATTCTATGTAGAGTTTGACAATAGTTCCATACTCTATAATATATGGTCGGAATATAGTAGACTAAGGAACATAATTGCATTGTAACATAACTAAGGTTCTAAATATTTGTTGTATAAATTCAAACATATTCTAACTAATCTAGGTAGTCGATAATCACTGCTAGATGTTACTATTCGGTTTGTGGATATTCCTACAAGGTTGAATTAGAATGATTTCTAATTATGTAAAATTAGATTATTAAATTAACCAAATTATCCACTGCCAACATTAGTGCAAACTTACAAGGTCACACACAATATCATGATATTGAAAGATAAAATTGGTGAATACTGAATTTAATAAAATTTGTTTATATTATATGTTTTAATTTATATTTGATTAATTGGTTGGAACTTCTATTTGTCATTAGTTGTTTGAACTAAAATAAAATAAGGACTCATTCTAAAAGAAATACCAGATTAATTCAATAAATAAAATATGAGAGAAGCGGCCTAATGCTCAGTTGCAAAGGGCGGTGCGGCAAGCCCAAGAAAAGGTCTGCTAGGGCTTACGCGCACATGTGGTGTTTAGGAAGAGCGCATATGGTAAAGTGGAACACGAATGAATAGTCCATATGGTAAAGTGAGACAATATAGATAAAATGTTGAAAATGAATCCCATATTGATAAGAGGAAGGACATTGTATGTGCTTATATATAGTTGGGCTAGTCCTCATATTGCCAACTGGTTTTATGGTGGAACCTCAACTTCTTCATGGTATCAGAGCAGGTTGTCTCACGTGTGAAGCCCAATTGCCATGCGTGCTCCACGTCACCTGAGTTGTGTTGTCCACGTGTTAGGCTTAAAAATTCACCAAACGTGAGGGGTGTGTTGAAAATGAATTCCACATTGATGAGAGGAAAGACCTTGCATGTGCTTATAAATAGTTGGGTTACCCCTAATAGATTATAAGTTCAATATATGTACATGATAGTCAAGAACTTTTTATACAAGTGAAGAAAAGCCGCTAGATCGTAATATTAAACGACTTTTTATATAATTTTAAAATAGCATTTTGAAAAACCCTACTCATGAATCCATGTAAAAAAAGAAGAAGAAGGGTATATCACTAGAGTGAAGTGTTGATTTAGTTCTTGAACTATCACGTTAGTGAAAATTAGGTTTCTGAATTATTTTTTCGGTAAAATAAGTTCCTAAATTTATTAGAAGATGCTAATTTCATCCTTACTACTCTATTCAAAGCTATTTTATCCAATTTTTCGTCAACTTAAGTCAATTGACACACTTTAGAGTGTAATACCGTCATTTTCTCGCCTATAAGCATTTAACATTTCATATAAGTTGCGAATCTAACGTCTAATTTACTCTCTGAAGTTAACTTACACTATTTCTTATGAAAACCATCAATTTACCCTCCAAAGTTAACTTCATACATTATTTATTTATGAAAAACTACCAATTTACCCTGCAATATGTATCATATGCAAGTAAATCGACTTAAATTGACAGAAAATTGAATATAAATATAGTAGCTTCTAAACAAAATTGTTTAAGAACTTAATTTTTTACTTAGGTGATGATTTAAAGATTAAATTAGCAGCACACCCATATAGTGATTCAATAGGGTCGGGTTTTGCTTCGAAAGTCGTTTCAATTCATCCAAATAAAAGGGGGAGAGCGTGTACCCGGGCCTCTCCATCACTCTCAACTCTCAAGTCTCAAGAAACACAATCGCCGGAGGACGACGGCGATCGGGACTTGCCTTTGATTTTGACGAAGGCCCACTACTCCTTCCAAGTAGCAGAACTCGATAGCAGTTTCGGGTAAGTCTCAGTTGCACACTACATATAATTTTGCTTCAATTTGTTCATCTTCCTCCAGATTTCTCTGCATTTTTTTTGAAGCCCAATGATTTAAAAATCAAATTTATGTGTAAATTGATCAGTGTGGGCGTGGACACCCAATTAGTTGCAGGCTTTCCGCTTCCTAAAGGCTAAAGCATCTTTCTTTTAACTACCCAACTGCTTATTTTCACCAAATTTACAGTTTCTTCTCTGTGCTGTGAAACAGTTTTCGGGTTGGTGTTAACTGGTAAAGATTTTACTTTTCCTGTTTTAGTAACTGTAATGTTAATGATGTTGGTTGAAGGCAATTTCAAAGTTTGGGACTGTTTATAGAGTGTTTTGAAGTTTCCTGATCGCTGGGGAAAAAAACAAAAAAAAACCATGCTTAAGAGTAAATTGATTAAATTCTGACAAAAAATGGTTGATTTTATAATTTTACATATGTGTGTGTGTGTATATCCAGCTTTAATACCGCATCCGTGCACTGACAGTTGAAAACTAGCTTGAATTCTAAGTGGAGCTGTTATTGACACTAAAAATTTCACAATGCACTCCCACCTAGTGAAAGAAAATAATAGAGTGAGCCAGGGAGGAGTGCTAATAACAATTCCCAACTTCTAAATACGTTAAGGTTGCAAATTCAGGCCGGTGGGGCCTTTTTACAGCCAATATAAATTTTACTATGCAATCGTGGCATTTTCTACTGAATAAAGCTAATGACTTTCTTGTAAGAATTTTTTTAGTGATGGAAAACTTTTGCAATGTCCGGATGAGTCTGGTCATGATGATGGCGGTGAGGATTATCATTTAATTTTGGTGAAACTGCACTGATCGTAGCAGAATACAGTGCTTTAGTTTTAGTTTGAAGTTTTGAACCTTGTTTTGTGTGAGTTACCTGCCGTGTTTAACCATAGACTTTGCTGGAACCATTTCTGACTCTTTTTCTTCCTTCTTGATTACAGATAAATTTAGAAGTTACATGAGTGGCATCAGACAAAGGACCCTCGGGGGTGGGGGTCAGCATGTTCTGGACTATCTAAAACGAATGCAGGCAGACAATCCTACTTTCTTTTACGCAGTTCAGGGTGATAGTGATCACTCTAGTGGTAATATATTTTGGGTGGACGCAACAGCCAGGTTGAACTATACATATTTTGGAGATGCCGTTATATTTGACACTTCGTACAGGACAAACCGCTATAGGGTGCCGTTTGCCTCATTCTCTGGATTTAATCATCATGGCCAGCCGGTGTTGTTTGGCTGTGCGTTAATTCTCAATGAGTCTGAGTCTTCCTTCGTATGGGTATTTCAAACTTGGCTCCATGCAATGGCTGGATGCCTCCCTGTCTCTTTGACCACTGATCCAGATAGGCACATGCAAGTTGCAGTTGCGCAAGTTCTTCCTCAAACCCGCCATCGCTTCTGTAAGTGGGCCATATTTAAAGAAACGCAAGAGAAGCTGGATCAGTTGTATCATTCTCATCCTACTTTCGAAACTGAATTTAAGAAGTGCATCAATGAGAGCGAGACAATTGATGAGTTTGAGTCACATTGGCAATCATTGCTTGGAAGATACTACATCATGGATAATGAGTGGCTTCAGTCCATGTACAATGCTAGGCAACAGTGGGTCCCAGTTTACATGAAGGACACCTTTTTTGGAGAGTTTGCTGTAAATGAGGGAAGTGAAAGGTTAGCCTTGTTTTTTGATGGGTTTGTGAATGTATCCACTACCATGCAGGTTTTGCTTAAGCAGTATGAGAAAGCTTTAGTTAGTTGGCATGAGATGGAACTAAAAGCAGATTATGACACTACTAGTACCATGCCAGTTCTGAAGACACCATCTCCTATGGAAAAACAAGCTGCAAACCTCTATACGAGGAGAGTATTTAAGAAGTTCCAGGAGGAGTTGGTTGAGACCATGGCAAATCCTGCAACCAAAATTAATGACTCAGGAACTGTTGCCACCTATCGAGTGGCCAAATTTGGGGAAGACCACAAGGCACATGCTGTTAGCTTCAATTCCTTTGAGATGAAAGCTAGTTGTAGTTGTCAAATGTTTGAATATTCGGGGATAATCTGTAGGCACATACTAGCAGTTTTTAGAGCAAAGAATGTTCTAACACTTCCTCCTCAATATGTATTGAAGCGATGGACAAGAAATGCCAAGAGTGGAGCTGGCGGAGCTATGCTGGATGAACGTGCTTCTGAATCACCAAGGAATTCTCGAGAATCGGTAACAGTTGGGTATAACAATTTACGTCAGGAAGCAATCAAATATGTAGAAGAGGGAGCAAAATCTATCCACATATACAATGTAGCGATGAATGCTCTACAGGAAGCTGCTAAGAAAGTTGCTGCTACAAAGAATAAAGGTTCTGGAGCTACACAGGGTAGTTCCCTGGCCAATGGAGGTAGCCAAGAAATTCATGCGACTGAAGCAAATGAAATGGCAGGGTATCAACCAACGGTAAATCTTGCACTTCAAAATCTGGTCTGTGCTAATATTGACATTAACCATTGTTGTTGTTGGTGGTGTTGTTCTGGTTATAATTATTGTTTTTTACGAGAATATCTTCCTCCCTCTCACACACACTGGGGTCATTTGGGAAGTTTCTGGACATGGAATAGAATAATGTTAAGTGTAAAATCTTGTATTGCCTCTCAGGATTCTGGAAATTGTGGATATATTTTCTGAATTATTTGCTTATTCAGTAGTGTAGGTGCATGTAGGTATTGAACTCTACAAATCAAGAAATAATGCATCTTTGCGTGTTCCCTGGTTACAAACTTCCAAACGTGGCAGTTCATCATGTTGATTCATGTCTGTAGCCAGAGAGGCCCAGATTTGAATTATGATACTTAGAATCTGATCATGACATATATGCTGCTTGTGTTTTCAGTATGATGGTGATATACCACGCCATTATTTCTGTTTACTAGTTATTTTCATCAGGATGAAAAGGAAAAGAAAATCCGCGAATTGTCTGCTGAGTTGGAGAACACCAACCAACGCTGTGAAGTTTATCGAGCAAATCTGCTTGCTGTTCTACGAGATATGGAAGAGCAGAAGATGAAGCTTTCAGTGAAGGTTCAAAGTGCAAGGCTAAGTATGAAGGAGTGACTGCTATTTGCAGGTGAAGCCCCGCCATTCTGTCTTCCCTTCTCAAGACCCTGCTGGTTCGACCACTGTCATCTTTTGATCATCCGGCCTGCCAGGCGTCACTTGGAGGGAGCGGGAAGATGGATTTAGAGGCCGGTTGCCCTCGGGTGTGGGCAGTATTTGCATCTGAAACTCTCTTACTCGTGCACCCTAGAATTGTTTGAGAATTGTTGAGATTTTGTTGGATGGACCGAGCACCGAAGATCTGCCATTAGCTGCGGGAAAAGATCATTCATTAACATCTTAGCCACGGGTTAGCATCCTCTAATGTCAATGCCAGGAAGCTGTAACATTAGGTCTTAACCGTCTTTAGTCATTTGTGACAGTTATTAGTTAATTTGTGACAAATTCTTGCTTTATTTTGATTTGGGATAATTAATAATCCACTTTAAATTGAACTTTGAAACCCTTTTTCTTTTTGTACTGTTTTCAATTTAAACCTTCCACAATAGTAGAGGGACGAACAAACAAAGGGAGAAATTAAAGTTGAAAAACGAATAAAGATAATTTGGAATAAAAAAAATGAAAGTGAAAGGTGGGAAGGATAGAAGCAAGGCTTCCACAACACAAGAAGAATTTCCGTACACTACTGCCTTTAGTTAGCAAGTGGCGACGTTTGAGTTTGAGTCCATTGCTTCCTTGTTAACCCTTCCATTCGAGTAGCGAATTATTCTGATTTCTGACTTCCTTTGCGTTTACTAACAATTATAATAAAAAATAAAATAAAAAGTATGTTAGTCTCATATCACCAGTGTTTGAAATTTCTTCGACACGGTCGATATTTCCAAGTTAAAAATGAAAAAATCAGAGAAAGATACGAAAAGGAGGGTGAAGTCTAAACTTCACTTCATATTGAAGAAACTATTGAATTTCAACTAAAATCGATAAATTTCATCGTTATTTTCGATATATAGATTAAATATCGTATAAACTTTTATATTTCGTGTAAACCAGTGTTTGATATTACCAAAAGTTTCATTTTAAATTTTCATCATTTCCATAGAAAGCAACCGATATCGATTATATTGATATATCCATCGATATTGTCATAAATTTGCATATCAATATTTTAAACATTGCATGTTAATACCTATAAATATTCTAGCACTAGTTGCTGTGAGGCATATTAGATTGGTTTTTGAACATTGAAAATGAAATTTGAGTTTGATAACTTTTGTAAATGCTTACTTAATTATAAGCGAGAAGTTTTAGGTTTGCGTATCGAAAATGACGAGCTTAGCTTCAACTTTTACAAAGATGTTCACAAGACCCGTAACTATGGAAATCACAGTGACCACGCCACCTGTGACAGTTGTTCTACTTGTCCACATTTCTTCTGCTTCTTTTTGCTTTGTCTTTATAAAGATAACAATAAAGAAGCTTCCATAGAAATCCAAGCTTCTGCTTCTTTTGAAGTTTCTGAAAGAAAGAGCATCCTTTGATACTCTAGGATGATTAAGTGAAAAACCATTTACAAGTTTCCTATTCTCAAGCACCAATATTTAAATCTTTAAGTTGAAGATAAATCATAGTTTGACGTGTGTGCATATTTTGTCTTTTAACCGTTTTAACAAACTACTTTATATATGTGTCAGACTATGATTTATTGATAAAGAGAAATGATTCTTTACATGTAAGGAGTGGATGAGTGTTCTTATAATAATATTGTTAGGGTTTTAAGTCAATAATCTCCATTACTAGGAATGCTAATCTTAATCCAATAATTTAGGCAATAGCCAAAAACAGCATCGTTCCACAGAACCAGATTCCAAAGGGAATGCTTTCTTTGATCCCCCCCCCTCTAAGTCCCAACTCACCCTAATTATTTGATCAAGGTGACCAATTTGTCATTCTCCACTTGTGAAATTTAAGCAAAGAATCTTTACCTTAGCCACAAAACTGTTGAAACCCCCCCCCCTTTTTAATCTCCATATAACTATATAAGCATCCCTAACTTAGAAACTTGAGATTTACCAAGAAAATTTGGAGAAAAAAAATGAAGATTGACAAGGAAATCTCTCACCCCATCCACCTAAAACACAAGCTAAAGATCGAATACACTGAGATCCCGTTCTACTGCGACGGGTGCAAAGAAGCAGGAATTGGCCTTAAATACAAGTGCCAGCAATGTGAATTTGATTTGCACAAGGCATGCGCTGTGGCTTCTCCAACCATCACCCATCCCTTCTACAACAAATGTGAGTTTCAGTTTCTTTACAGCCCACCGGGCGCTGCAAGGAGAGTGTGTGATGCGTGTAGGAAGGATGTTCTAGGGTTTGTGTACCACTGCAGGAGGTGTGGTTTTGATCTGCACCCTTGTTGCGCAAACCTCCCACAAGTCCTGGATGACGGGCAGCGCAACTTTTACTTGTACCTCAAGTTATCGAGCGCTTGTCATCAGTGTGGAGGCAAGGGGCATGGTTGGTGTTATAGGTCAGAATGCAAGACGTATAATCTTCATGTGTCATGTGTGAAGGAGCTGCTTGTGGAGAGCTGGCAAGCCAAGTATCTCAATGTGGACAAGAACAAGGTTAGGGAAATGCAGACGAGGATCCCGAGCCTGAAGGGGACGCTGAAAAGCCACCACGGCGGAGGGAGAGGTGGGAAGGTCAGAAAGTGTTGCGAGATAGCTGGTGGCGCTGTTCGCGTCATTGTCTCTGCCATACTCGGAGATCCTACTGCCCTAATAGGCGCCGCTGTTGGCGGTTTCATATCCAAGTAGAAAAGTGCAGAAATTGGAAAACAAGTACATGTTTAGTATGTCACGTAACATGTTATATCTGTTCGTCATGTTGTTCTGTTTTACTTATTACTTTGTTACATGTTAAGTTTACGTACTGTGTGAATGATTAGGACTGTGCCCTCCAAATCTGCATATTTCATTATTTGTAAAAAATAAAAACGCATGTTTAGATTTGAATTGTTTTTATCTTTACACAAGCGATATTCTATATTAAATTCGTCTAAATTAGGATAGAGATTAAACATAAGTGCAGAAGAGAGAGCATGCCGCTCTAGCCAACTTGATTAATTTCAGGTCTGCAAATTGTCTTTTCTTAGTCCAATATATTAATGTCCGGAACTAAAAAAGGGAGCTTGAAAAGTTCGGAAGGACTCCTACATTCAAGTGACAATAGTGATATTAGGGGAGCATGAATCAAACACAGAACTTCGAATTCAGAGATGAATATTTTTAACACTTTAAATTACACGTCTGATCTTGCTTTTTTAACATTGTTAAAATCTAGAAAAACTTGCTCATTCGGACCATGTTGAATGCCAAATTTCCCCTTATTTCAGAATATTAAACCTCGTTAATTTGCTTGTGAAATTCCTGACGCCTTCTGCAATGACCTCTTCTGGTTCTAGTTCGAGAGGAAACGGCACTCAATGTTGCTCAGAAGTTTCCTATAAACACAAAAGAAGACCAAAAACGTTTTGGGCTTTTAGGGATTTGATTGATTAATATTTCCTGCAGAAAAGATTGACTTTTTTAAGACATTATAATGTTCTGGAATTTTGACTTCTGAAAAGTATCTGTTCTAACTCGTTTATGTTCAACGACCAAACCCGTTCCATTTAATTCCTGGTAACACAAGAAAAGGAAGAACATTGATAAATACGACCCGCACAAATAGAAACATTGTACGATGAACATAAGGTTAAAGCCCCAGTTTAGATGGAAAATTGAAATTCCCTTTTCTTTAATTTTGGTAATTTCCTATCAGATTCCTTGGTCAACAAATGTATGTATATATGTATATATATACACACACACACACATACATGCTACAATATACAGAAGTAGAAAGCAAAGAAAAAAGAAGCTTACTTTGATCATCTTCTGCAGATAACGTGCATCTGTTTCCTCTCGGCTTTCGTTAGCTCAATCTTCCTGTTACCTCGCCCGATTTGTAAATCAAAATCGACGAGAAAATGAGGTGCTCGAAAAGAATGTTAATCACCTTCCTAGTTGCCTCTTTTGCCATAATGCTGCATTATGCTGCCATAGGTGCCGCAGCAGCGGAAGGAGCTAAGCCGAAAGATTTCCCTTTTCTTATATTTGATGAAAAAACTGACCAAAATACCTTCCACTTTACACAACATTCTTCCATTGATAAAGGGGCGCTTCAGTTAACCCCAGACAGTGAGAACCCGCAAGACTCCAAAGAAAACAAGTCTGGTCGGATTATGTACCAGAGACCTTACAGACTATGGCTTTCTGACATTGTTGTTGCCTCCTTCAACTCAACTTTCCTCATCAACGTCTACCGCGAGAAAGACTGGAACGCTGGTGAGGGGTTAGCTTTTCTTATAGCTTCGGATATTCATGTACCTGAACAGAGTCAAGGGCAGTGGCTAGGCCTCACGAATTCCAGCACCGATGGTAAAGCCACAAACCACTTCGTTGCTGTTGAATTCGACACGGAGAAGCAAGATTTCGATCCTGATGGCAACCACATTGGACTCAACATCAACTCTGTAAAATCGAACAAGACTGTTTCTCTCAAGCCTTTGGGCATTGAGATATCGCCAGAGACACCCACCAACTACAGTGTTTGGGTGGATTACAATGGTAGGTCCAAAGTCCTCGAAGTCTACATGGCTAAAGACTCTCTAACCAACCCGGCAACCAAGCCTCTGACACCACTTCTAAGGGAGACAATAAATTTGAGGGAGTATCTCAAAAAGGAGTCCTACTTCGGATTTGCTGGTTCCACGGGCACCTCAGTAGTTCAGCTAAACTGCGTTTTGAAATGGGATCTGAAGGTGGAGGAATTTCACCCTAGAAAAGATTTGACTTGGTTGAAAATTGCTGTCGGGGTTGGTGTCCCAGTAACGAGTTTGCTACTAGTCTCTGCAGTTTGGCTGGGAGTCGGATATTCAAACAAAAGGAAAAGAACCAGGATTGAGGAGTCCAGTGTTCTCGGGAAACTAAAGAGGTTGCCAGGGATGCCTAGGGAGTTCAAGTACAAGGAGATCAAGGAGGCTACCAATAATTTCCATGAGAGCATGAGACTGGGGCAAGGCGGATTTGGCATTGTTTACAGAGGATCTCTGCGTGATAAAGATCATGCAAATACCAACTCCTCAGCAGAAATTGCTGTCAAGAAATTCTCTCGGGACAACATCAAAGGTAAAGGCGATTTCATGGCTGAGCTCACCATAATTCACCGCCTTCGCCACAAACATCTTGTCCGATTAGTGGGTATGTAATTTTCAAGTTTTAACTACTTTTCCTAAATTTTTGTTGCATATGCAGCTCAATCAATGATTCAATATGAATGAAAACCATGTTCTAATACAAGTATTGCCATACAGGATGGTGCTATGAGAAAGGGAAACTTCTTTTAGTCTACGATTTCATGCCAAATGGCAGTGTTGATAAACACCTCTACGAAGCTTCCAGCCAGAATACACTGAATTGGAAACACCGATGCAAGATCCTAGCTGGTGTGGCATCAGCATTGCATTACCTGCAAAATGAGTACGACCAAAAAGTGGTGCACCGTGACCTCAAGGCCAGCAACATCATGCTTGACTTAGACTTCAATGCCCGCCTGGGAGACTTTGGCCTTGCCCGAGCCTTGGATCAAGAGAGGAACTCATATGCTGAACTAGAACTAGCAGGAGTCCCGGGCACCATGGGCTATGTTGCTCCAGAGTGCTTCCACACAGGGAAGGCTACTCCAGAATCTGATGTGTTCGGTTTTGGGGCAGTGGTGCTTGAAATTGTATGTGGTAGAAGTCCTGGGATTAAGATTCTTCATGAACACCAGCAGTATTCGCTGGTCGATTGGGTGTGGATGTTGCATCGAGAAGGGTGTATTGAAGAAGCAGTAGATGAGCGGCTCAAAAACGATTATGTGTTTGATGAAGCAATTAAGCTTCTACTTCTCGGGTTGGCATGTTCACATCCGATTGCCAGTGAGAGGCCTCAAACACAGGCGGTTTGCCAGATCATATCTGGAACCATGCCGGCCCCTAGTGTACCTCCATTCAAGCCCGCTTTCACGTGGTCTTCCATGGCTACTGCCTACAGCAGCACTGAGACCGTGAGTACACTTTCTAACATCATTCTTTCTAGCATTACAGTGTCTTCCTCAATCACGGAAGAACATTGATGTAACAGCATTGCAATGGCTTCAGCTCATCCCTAGACTAGTTTTTAAAGTCCTAGGAAGGCAAGGTTAACCAGCCATAGCAAGTGTTCTTACTGTATATAGCATCCTCTTGCATTAAGATTGGAGGATTTTTAAATAAGAATACCTCGTAAGATTCTGTTTATCGATCCTGCTAATTGTGCTAAGAATTTTTTAAAGATTCTATTTAACAAGCCTGCTAATTGTGCTAGATTTTACATAAGTCCATTGGTTAGAATACCTCATGATATTCTGTTTAAAGAGCCTTGTAATTGTGCTAACAATTTTTTAAAGATTCTAACCGAAATCAATAAAATTGCAGCATCAATTGTTCCTTCAGAACCTTAAACTCTCTCAATTAATCTCATCAATAGTGTTATACCCGGGAGATTAGGTAATTTTCAGCCAAAGCTGCAAAAAAAATTGTTAACCGAGGACCGGTTTCATCAATCGTGCAGAAATAAAACTATGGCCTAATGTTGTAGCTTTCGGTTCCTAAACGAAGAAATGAAAAAACATATGAAGTTCTAACAGATGGCACTTGATAGAAGAAAGACTATATATTGAACCATATTTAAGTTCAATTCACCTAATATATTGAAAATGCAATGCCAAACTAAGCTACAACACAAGAAAACGAAAATCAAAGGATAGAAAAATCAAACTCTAGTACCTTGAGCCTATTCTTCAAACCAAACCAAACTTCGTTACGAACTTGTTTTGATTACAGTTCAGCATTTCACTCAAGCTACAATCAGTTGTAGTCTGTTTCAAAAGCTTGTGTCGCCGCTCCACTCTTTTCTTCAAACCATGGCGGAAGAAGTCAGGATAATCAGCGACTTCATTAATTCGTCTCCCCATTACCTCTACCAAGTACCTGATTCTCGGCTCTAAAGAGTTGTGGATGCTTTTGATCAGAATGCGTGGATAACCAGACACCAAAGCCGTTATCTGGCCATCTTCAAATCCACTTCTCTTTAAATATTCGAAATTGGGTCTCAGAATCTTGTCCACGTCTCTACATAACACTTCTGGAAAGTTCATTACCACTGTCTGAAGACCCTGCTCTGTGAGGCCTACTGATTTCAAAAACTCTGCTGTAGGGCGCAATCTTTTGTCAATGCTATAACCCATGATAAACGGATTCTTTACCAGTACTTTTCCAATCATCCCTTCTCTGGAAAGGCCAAGATTAGCAAGAAATTTTACAATTTCAGACAGCTTTGCTTCAATGCTGTAGCTGATGAGCCTCGGATTGAGCAAAATCATTTTTCCAAGTTGCTTTTGGGGAATTCCCAGTGCCTCAAAGAAGCCCAAAAGCGGACAAAGCTTCTCTTCCACACTGTGGGACAGAATGTGTGGGAATTTGGCAATGGAAGACGCAACTTCATGCGGTTTGGCACCAAGCGTGGTAAGGCACTCAACCGTAGGAATAAGCTTCTCATGGAGAGCCAAAGTAAGTATCTTGGGGCACTTTGAAACAACAAAGGGCAGCTTTCTCTCCTGAATGCCAATACTCTTCAAATAAGCCCAATTCTCGGAGGATCTTTCTGCTTGCGCATTCTGGAGACTCGCACTTTTTGAGCATATCCTGAATGCTCTTATCATCAAAACCTTTATCCCGGAAGAACCACATGATACCAGAACTACCATTTTGGGTAGTGCTGGTTTCCATTATCCCCCTAAAACATATGAAACACATCAAGCCCAAGCTACATTTACAGGTTCATATAAACCCAGAAAACCTAATGTTGTAGTGAAATAAGTAAAAATCAACATTCAATAGTGGGTCTGGCTACAGTACGAACACTAACTCAATACGAACACCTGAAAATATCATCGTCATGGCCCGGTGTGTAGCACCACTTCAAGTTCAAGGGTATACTACACCATCTGATTGGTCTAATACACCGTCTGATGGATCATTTTATAGGTGTTCGTACTTAATACGTGTTTATAATGTAAATAAACCGCATTAAGCAAAGGACCATGATGAAAATAAACAAATTCAGTGGATGGGAAGTCATAGAAACTAACAAACTAAACACTGCCATAGAATAATACTATCAAATTATTAATGCACAGACACGGGTTAGGCCAGTTGGCCAGGACAGTGTGCCCGCGGTCTGGCACTCAGAGTTCGAAACCCCTGTACCATAGAATTCAATCAAACAAGCATTCTTTCTCGGCTGAATTTAGCAAATATATACATATATATACACACACATACAGTGAGAGTCACATACATAGCTATGATTCAATCAGTTTCAGCAAAAGGGAATAGCAAAAGAGAGACACTTTGCAGTTATTCCGGCAGCCACCGATAATTCACAGGCAGCGGCAGTGAGGAATTAACAAGGAGAAAGCCAAAGCCTTATTTGTTGGTTTTACCTCTCTCCCCCCATTTCAAGCAGTGGAGAAAAGAAATTCCTCATTTACCCTCGATGTATTCTAAAATAACAAATATATCCTCGCTAGCACAGTCTCTCTCGGTTCGAATTAAAACCCCCAAAACCACTCTCTCTTAAACCCTAACCAGAAACTCAAAAGATCGTAACTTTATCGATCAGAAATCTCTGTGGGGCCATGCCATCGTTTCAGGATCGGGTTTCCAAGCACATATTTGCTGCAGTTTCTAATCCATTTCGCCAATCAACGAGCTTGTCGACGAAGCTGCATCGTTTTAGCACCACCGCCGATCGTGGCGGTGAAATGGAAGCAGCATCAGAGCAACAGCCGCCGGATCCCATACCCAATAGGCCCTTGAGAGGCCAAAGACTATCAAATCCCCAAACTTCCAATCTCCAATTCCTCAACAAAAACTCACCCATTTCAGAGAGAAGGAGAGAGAGCCCTTCTTCTCCGCCATTGCAGGACAGCAGCTTTCTTGAAAAGCTGAAGCTGGGACTCGACAAGTCGAAGAGGGAGGAGCCGCAGGAAGTTCCCGAGCCGCCGCAGCCGCCGGAAGAAGCGGACCAGATATTCAAGAAGATGAAGGAGACGGGTCTGATTCCGAATGCGGTGGCAATGCTTGACGGGCTATGCAAAGATGGTCTGGTCCAGGAGGCCATGAAGCTTTTTGGGTCGATGCGCGAAAAGGGTACGATTCCTGAGGTTGTTATATACACTGCTGTGGTTGATGGCTTTTGCAAAGCACAGAAGTTCGAAGATGCTAAGAGGATTTTCAGGAAGATGCAGAGCAATGGGATTGTTCCTAATGCTTTTAGTTACACTGTGTTGATACAAGGGTTGTATAGAGCTAATAATTTGGAGGATGCTGCTGAATTTTGTAGCGAAATGCTGGAAGCCGGTCACTCGCCCAATGTAGCTACTTTTGTCGGGTTGATTGATGCGGTTTGTAAGGAAAAGGATATGGAAGAAGCTGAGAGTGTTATTGGGAAGTTGAAGCAGAAGGGGTATATGGTTAATGAGAAGGCTGTTAAAGAGTTTTTGGACAAAAAGGCACCATTTTCGCCGAGGGTTTGGGAAGCTATCTTTGGGAAGAATAAGTCACAGAGAATGTTCTGAATTCTCTTTGTTATTAGAAGCAAAAGAAATTGTAAGTTTTGCTGTTCTGCTGTTGATCATTTTAGATTGAGTTTCATTGACTTTGTTAAAAGTGTGTTGCCCCATTGTATGAGGGGCGGCATGAGACCCTTGGAAATTCCCTCTGTCGATAATGATCCCGATTCCTTGGGCTTTATATGGTTTTCTAGGTTCTGTTAGCATAAATGTTTTTTATTTTATTGTATTTTCTTACAGTTTACATTTGCCATGGTAATTATCATGGCACGTCCCATTAGTTAAACACTACTTCTTTCAGCGCAGAGTAGGATATTATGGGATTCTTCTTGCCGACGGAACAATAGGGCCGGAGTCAGGAGATGGCGGTGCTAGTGCTAGTTGTGTGTTCACACATTGTGATAGAGGTAGTACATGTGGGTAATGCCTAGAGGAGAAGACAAAGATTGCGACAGCAGTAGTAAGTTTATATCAGTAGCAGAGCAACAATAGCAGTAACACATTTCTGGGTTAGAGTTAGGAATTAGGTAAATCGATGACTTGAAGATTAGCTTCCATGGAGTGGAGGTAGTGAAGCTAAGGGTGTGACTAAGGTCGTGATCGTGGAATTGGTAGCGCTCCTAGTTGACTTACCTTCATGAATGGCTGTGATCTCCATATTCTGAATGGGTGAAACATAAAACTGACCTGTTGAATTTGCTACGTTATTTGAAGCATTGTGAAGATTGACACGGTTCTGCATAGGTGTCTAGAGGATAGTTCCCCTCTGTAAAGGCTACAGCTTTTGATAAGTGATCCTAATAAATTGGTGCAGTTTTCTCGTTTGTGATAGAGTTGCAACGGTACAGGGTGGTAGACTTTTTTTTTTAAATTTGTGGAAGCTCGATCGTAGATGGACATACAAAGTTCTACTGACTCTCATTTACTTGTGTGGTATTTTTTTTCAATCTGTCAAAACAAAGATTGTTCCTTTGTGACCGAAAAGTCACGGGTTCAAGTCATGGAAATAGCTTTTTTGCAAAGTAAGGGTAAGGTTTCGTACGATGACACCCACCCCGGCAATCATCGCAAAGCTGGGAGCTTTGTTGGCTTGGGATTGTCAATTTATCTGAGTGCAAGATACATTTTCCTACGGGGCAGTTAAAACTTATGTCAGGAAGCTCGATAGTGAACCGTGATACTATGGTTTGTAAACATTGGAAAGTTCTGGATAATTTCCGAGTGATATAGTATGTTGGTATCTATTTGTTGCCGTGTATCAAACTAAATGTTGGTATCCATTTTCGGTAAGTTGGTTATTGTACAAGTATGTAGCTAAGCAATTAAGGGTGGGCATAGGCCGGCCGGCCGGGCTGGGCTGGGCCTAATTATGAAGTAACCGGATCCTATCCGCTTTAAACTCTTAAGGGGACGGGGCATGGGCCGGTTTTGGACGGGTTCACGAGTCCAACTCTTTTTTTTTTCTCCTTTCAAAAATACATTTTTATCAAATGGAGCTGCAGCTGCTGCACCGCAGTGCACAACAGCAGCACAGATTACACTTACACTAATATGAGTATTGAAGGCTTGAAGCAGAGATTGTGCACAACACGGATTAATATAATCCCAAACCCATTTGCCCACTCCTAAAGCAATATTCTTTAGAAGAAAAAAAATTACTTTTAATGTATCGAAAATGTCAGCCAAAGGGGGCTTTGAGGGGGAACGAAAGGTGCAGTCGCACAGAGCCCCGAATTTGAAGGGCCCCGAAAAATTTGTCATCTAAATCTATTATTTATATGTAATAATGTTCTATATTTAAAAATTACTTTTATTATGTAATAACATTCTATATTTAAAAATTGTTTTTGTTAGCACTTTAAAATTTCATTGTGCACTCCTTATAAGAGTATTGTTTTCCTTTCTAACACCTTAAAAATGGTTTTTTTCAATTTTATTATAAATAATGTTATATATTCAAGTGAAACTTTAAGTTTGATTTTTTTAAGTTTTTTTTTCCTTGTTTGGTTGTTTAAGATTGTACTGCTTTTGATTATTTAGTGAACGTTATATTTGTAGCTCTTTTTACTTATTATTAATGACATTTGTAAACATGCAACCAGTGAGTCCTAAACTTTGTTTTGATTTAAGTGATTGTTTTCTAGCGTTATACATTGTCCTACCTTTTTTTAAAACTATCTTAAGGAGGAGCCCTTTCATAAAATTCGTACAGGGCTTCCAAAATCTCAGAGACAGCCTTGTCAGCATGGCATCTTACAAATTAATTATGTAATATCATGTGAGAAAGCATGAGAATGCATAATAGATCTTGTTTTAGGGTTTTGGAGAGTTTGAATTTAGGGCAATGGGGTTCAAGGTTTGCATGAATCATTCATGCAGAACAGCCAATACACACGGATAAAAGAAAGGTTGATCTTTGCAGTTCAACGGATTTGCCAGCTCCAAGTGCAGGTAATTTGTTAGCCCTCTTAGATTTTGCTTACCAAGTTTTAATTTTTCAACCATTTTTAAGTTGTGATTTTTTCAATGATGTGTTTTATGGTGTTTGAGTTTGGAGACTTTGGACCCAGGTGCTTCTAGACATCTTGAAAAAACGCTAGGAAGGAGGTTGTTATTAATGATTAGACCAACAATTATCCACATTCTCTAAATAGGATTTCACCCAATATGAAGTAAACCCAATACTTAGAATTGTATACCTCTCAGACAATTGAAAAAATTGATATCACCTTTGCATTTGTATGTTATCAATGTAAAGATTATTCTTTTGATCATTTAGATGTCACAGTTTTTATAATCAATGCTTTGGTTAGCTATAAATCCACACACCAGTTTCATAAAATTTGTTTTCTGCCAACATATTAATTTTGCTCAATGATAATGCCATAATTGGAATATTTTTTATAAAAATGATGTAATGGGTTATTCTGAAATTCCGAACTTTAGGTGATGATTGAACTCATACATGACTGCTACATGATTAACCACAGGTTGGTGTTCCTTGAGAACTTGGTGCGGAGAAATGCAAGCATGTTACAGCGTATTATGGGAATATTACTACTACTTTTGTTTTCCCTTTCTGTAAATGATGCTAGATTTTAACTGAGACTAGATTGTATCAGACAAAAGCATTGTTTTGCAATCACATTCTGTATTTTGATTTTCCAGTCTTGGAATTTATATTCAGGTTCATATAACTGCTTTCTAGAAGTGTGATAGCGATTTTACCACTTGTAAAACAAGGGTTAAACCATAGAAAATTCTTGCAAGAGAACAAGTGTTTGTAGTATAGAATGACTCAAGCAAGGTCAATCTCCTAAGGGACTGATATAAACAATTTACGAGTTTTTGTGTATTTAACTTATTTAACTCTAAGAACTATACTAATTTGACGAAACTAAATACTACTGGATGTGACTTAAACAAATATCTAAAATGGGAATTGGCTTATAGGAATAGTGATTCAACTAAACAAAACAAGTAAATGAGGAAATTCAAGATAAAATAAATTATTGAAGAAAAATAGATTGACAATATGCTAGAGTTCAACCTTTACCAACAACACTCCTACGTAGCTATTCAAATTGCTTAAATAATTGAAAACACACATGCTTTGAAGGTTGGATTTTCCTTGTGTATGTTTTACTTGTGACATTCAAGCTAAAACGCATACCACTACATGCAACTTATCCATGACATTTGGATTAAATATAAACATGAGTGATTCATTAATCTTGGTGAAAATCCTTTTGTTAAATCATGTAATCCCTAAGAGCATGATATTTACCTTAGGAGAGTACAATCCTCAATCACAAGAAGCACAACCAATTTTAACGTGACATTCGTTCAAAATTGCATCCGATAACTTTTCTAAGCATCTTAATGGTAATCAAGCATCAAGGTACATAGATAGTTTAATTCAGTGATTGAAAATATCAAAGCAAGCATGTAACAACACTTAAGCAATTTGAAAGATAAATCTACATATTCATGTTGCGGCTCATGGCCTCACTCTAGCGAAAAGAAATTAGTTACACATACTTGTATTAATACATAAGAAATTATCCATGAAAAAAAACAAAGAAAGAGACAACCCTTTTTTTTACAAAGAAGCTATCTGCCCTTCTCCTCCTTCCATGTGGAGCTGCGGCTCCCTTATGTTTCTGCCATCTTCTTCTCCCTGCAACTCTCTCCTTTTTCCTCTCCTTCTTTTCTGCTCTCTTATGTCCGTGTTCCCCCCTCTCTTCTCTCCCGCTGCTTTTGTCCTTTCAACCAAAATCAGCTATATGCTTTTTTTTTAGGAAAACTAATGAAAATGGTTTGAAAACTTTGAGTTTTAATGATAAGGACAAAATAAATGGTAAAGTGAATAGTACCATGATTGACTTTTTAATGTAAAAATATGTTTTTTCGTTAAAGTAAACAGTACCGGGTGCTTTTCGTTAAAGTTCTTTTTTTTTTTTTTCCCAGCCACAAAAGCCCAATGGAAGACAAGTCAAATTTCTACTTCGGTAGTGGGATTGGTAAGGCAAAGCACAAAGTGCCATGTCTCTTTCTTTTTTCTCCACTTGCCGTGTCCCCTCTTGCTTTTATTCTTTTTTTTTTAAATTTATTTCTTCTCTTTCTTTCCCACTTTTTGTTCCACTTCCGTGTGCCATCTCCTTTATCTTTCTTTCTTGCTTTCTGTTGCCTTTAAACAATAAGGCAATGATTTTTCAAAACACCACCCGTGGAGACAATCTCCACTTCCATTTCTTTTGTTTGTTTTTATTATTTCATTTTCTCCATTTTGCTTGAAATTGATCCTAAAGCAAATTTAACTGCACACTAACACAAGGTAAGGTAAAATGCAATTATTTTAACACAAAAACATCACAAAGACTCTAGAAATGGATGGTATAAATGCATGAAATATATGAGTGATCAAAGTGCTTCTATGTATTTTCGGAAGCATTTGGACTTGGATAGGAACTTCAAACATGTTTCAAATAAATGCATTTCTAGCAAAAGTGCTTCCTATAGAAGGGGTTCCAAACTAAAAAGCCCTTTGTTTCATTGCAAATTGAAGAATTGGTTTTGGATTTCAGGTCAAGCTCTTTGAGTACATTAGGAAGAAGTACGTGATTCTCTTTTTTAACCCATTGCACTTCACATTTGTTTGTCCTGCAGTTAAGTATGTTTTCACAATCAGCATTTCTGCATACAAATTTGTAATCTTTATTAGATGCTTATCTATCTTAATCTGATTGATTTGCTAAAATTTGTGCCCCTACCTTGCAGAAATCACTGCTTTCAGCAACCACCATGCTGAGTTTGCAGAGTTCAACATAGAAATCTTGCATTTTTCAGTTGACACTGTGGTATGTTGCCCTGCTCCCCATTATCTTCAGTACCACATAAAGGGGTTGCAATTTTGCATCCATAGAGTAATTTGTTTTGAAATCCCAAATTGAATGAATTTTGTGTTATATATCTCTCGACAGTTTTCCAGGAAATCCCGTCCCGATTCTCCCTATTCGAAGAAAATTCTTCAACTGGCTTTGATTTCAGGGTAACGTATGGTTTTCATTCCCGCTGCATCGCACGGGGCATTTCTTGCTAGTTATTCACTATATTTCCTTCTTTCTTTGTTTCTTGGGTGAGTGAAAATTGAATATTTCCAGGTCAAAATGCAATTCAGCCTTCAAACTCGTAATGTATTTTTCGTATTTCATTTATTTGTGTATGCATCTTGCTTTTGCTTCATTCCTTTTTTTTTTCCTTTAGCTTGTGGCGCGACGTATAATTTTTTTTCCTTAATTTTGTAATGTTCCTAGTACGACGTGTTTATTGTTTTAAAACATAATGTACATGTTATTAATTTTTGTTTGGGCATTAAAAAACAAAGAACACAGATAAATTGAGCGAATACAGAAAATACTCAATGGGTACCTAAGTATTATACTCAGTTCAATTATTGCATCGCTATATTTCTTCCATAAACATTAATTACATCTGAGGACAGAGTGTGAGGTCTAATTCC